ATGATATTTGTCTAATGTCCACTTCTGATCCTACTGTTTCATCAAACCCGTTCTCAAGCTGTCTTGCTGGTCGTTCAACCTCGTCTTCTTCAAACTTTTATACTTCACAACAATTAAAACAAATGCTATTAAAAAATGATGAAAACGTTCGTCTTGAAAATAATAACTCAATGAAGGTGTAGCCAGCTTGGTGGAGATCTTTTAGATATATATCTTTAAAAAATAAAAAAATGATTTTGAACGTATTACTGGTTTAATAGCATGTTTTAAATGTTCTTCTGTATTTCGTTATGGGCCTAAAAGCGGAACAAAGCATATTGTTGAACATTTTTGTAAAATGAAGTTCATTAATAAACTATATGGGTTTAAACTATACTTTTATGTCTTCATTATTGTTTTTCTTAATATTAATAAGTTCTATTGGTTGAACTATTAGCTACTGGTATTGTGCAGTAATTTAGATGAAGCAATACTGGATAGTACATTTACGAAACAACTTTAACTTTGAACTCTATAGGAAATAAAAGTCGAAATTTTCTTGTCGATTTCACAGGGTAACCCTGTCCTGTCTTGCCAGTAACCGTGGCAGGACAGGGCAGGATAGGGTGTGTTTTTTTTTCTAAGTATTTCTGGCCCACAGGGCAGGGTAACACAGAGCAGGGTACAGGACAGGACAGGGCGAAAAAAATTGCCCTGTGGACACCTCTGATGCCAATTACATGCTAATGGAAATTCTTGAAATGAACATTTATCAAGTGGATTTTCAAATATAAAATGATTATAATCAGGATTATGTGTTGTACGTTCAAGAAGAAAATTTGTGCAATAATTTAAATATTCATTTTCAGTTTTAATTGGATATTGTCAACTAAATGATGATATTACTCGTTTAACAATTAATGCACTTGAACCAGTAGCAGAATTTGGTTGAAGTTGTTCTTCAATCATTTGATAATCAGTTTCTTGTAATTAATTATCTGAAACGACAATCAAATATTAAACTTAATCGAAGATATACTAAAGCCTTCTAGGCTTTGATTTATTGAGATTCTTAGATATATTAATTCATTAAGGTCGTAGCTAGCAATACGCTAATTGGGACTTTTTTTTTTCGTTTAACTATTTTCTGGTGTTTTAACAAAAAACATAATACTTCAGGAGAGGGTTATTTATATAGAAAAATAGGGACCTGGAGGTCCATGTTTTTTCCGCTAAGATTTGGCACTTCTGTTTAACTGACCAAATAAAGCATCAAGATTTTAGTTATTTATTGGTTACTCTCAGAAAAAACCGAGATAAATACAAATGGGGTCTAAGTTAAATCTAGATATGAATAAAAAACAAGAGATTAAGTTTTACTATTTTATCTGAAAATAGGTGCTGGATGAGTTATATAGATGAGGATTTATTAATGAATTCTAAAAATAAATTTTTTAAAAATGTACGTTGTGATGGTGTTGTAAGAGTTCACCGACATTTCCGCGCACGACATATCTGCGCCGACGTTTCCGCGCCGACTTTTCCGCGCACGACACTTCCGCGCAGCAACACTACCGCACGCGACACTTCCGCGCAAATGAAGTTTTTCTCGTCTGTTTATGTTGGGTTAATGCTGGAGGAATCACCTGGGATGCTAGAGAGATCACCTATGATATCGGTGGGATCACCTGAGATGCTAGAAGGATCACCTGGATTGCTAAAGAAATCATCTGGGACGCTAGAGCGATCGTCTATGATACTGAAGGGATCATCTGAGATGCTAGTGGCATCGCCTGGGATGCCAGAGGGATCACTTGAACTGCTAGTAAGCTCATCGGGAACACTACAGGGACCACCTAGGATGCTGGAGGGATCATCTGGAATGCTGCATACATCGCCCGAGATACTAGAGGCATTGCTCTGGATACTAGAATCATCGCCCGAAATACTAGACGCATCGCCTGGGATACTAGATGGATCGCCTGAGTTGCTGGAGGGGTCATCTGGAATTCTACAAGCGTCACCAATGGATGCGTTTAGTATCATAGGAGATGCATATAGCATCTCAGGCAATCCTCTAGCATTTCAGGTGATCCCCTAGCATCTCAGGCGATCCTTCTAGCATCTCAGGTGATTCCACTAGCATCCCAGGCGGTCCTTCCAGTATCATAGATGATCCCTGTAGCATCATAGGTGATTTCCGTAACATCCCAGATAATTCCTATAGCAATCCAAGTGATTCCTCTAGCATTAGCTCAACATAAACAGAAGAGAAAAAATTCATTTGTGCGGAAGTGTCGCGCGCGGTAGTGTTGCTGCGCGGAAGTGTCGTGCGCGGAAACATCGTGCCACGGTTGTAAGTTCTTCAATTAAATCACAGTAGTCGAGTACCTAGAAAGAAAAGAAAATATATTATTTGGTATTACATATGAATACATACCCTCCAGGAAATAGAATGACCAATAAATAAATGTGCGTAGAACTTGACAAGATTTTGAAGTTGCACATTTTCAAGAGTATGAGGAATTTTATATTGATCTTTAAAGATTTCTTCAAAATATAGTGTATATTCTTTGTTGAATGTGCACAGTTCTTGACCAAGTAAACCAAAATAACGTTCATATATTTGATGTTGTGCACAAATATCCACAATTACTTCACATAAATTTTTCTAAAATTTAAATTATTTAAAAACTAATTAAAAATTTCAAAAATATACCTGTTGTTCAGGATGTAAATTCTTACGAAATAAACAACCTGCACATTCTTTAGCACTAATACTATTCTGAATTGCTAAATATATTTCTTCACGTAATTTTTCTAAACTACTTGATGAAAATTGCGATGGTGATCCAAGTGGAGCATTATTTTTATCGATAAAAGCAGATGTTGTAATACTATGTTGTTGTGTTGTTAATAATGAATTACCACTATCACCATCAATAATACTTGATCGATCAGAAATAGATTCATAATCCTTAGATTTTTCATGAAGTTTTAATCGAGAAATATGTAAATAAAAATTATAAACAAATAAATAAATAAAATCTTTCGAAAAGAAAAAGATGTTGTTAGAGATGTATTTTCTCATCTTTATTTTGTAATCACGAAATACACACACATCTAACCACTAACTACATACGACCAAAGAGATGAGAAGAAACGCGTGTATATATACCAGTAAATAGATCGAGGGAAAGAAAGAGAAAACGAATACAAGAATAAAGGATGATATCACACAACAAAGGAAAAAGATATATGTAATCATAACGACAAAGAGTGAAATCATATAACGACAGAAAAGAAGAAAAGAAAACAAGACCTGGATAATGTGAGGGCTAGTCCGTAACATTATCTATCTACTTTGTGGATAAATATTACGAAACAAATAATAACTCTTTTCATGAAATTGTGATTTATGAAACGGATGTCTAATATAACCCATTTTAAGCATTTTTGAGGCATAGGCTCTTGCATCATCTCGACCAAGAAATCCACGGACATTTTCAAATAACCAAGTAACTAAATCAGAACCTAAAATAATATTCATAAAAATTAATTATTTTTAAAAATAATTTTTGTTTTTCTTTCATACCAAGAAATGATTTTGGTAATATTGTTTCAGGCCATATTCTATGACGTATATCTAAACCTGAATGAGGTTCAGCCATAGCTCGTACAATAATAGCCATATCAGAATTATTTTTTAAATTAAGATTAAGACCAAAACCTAAAATAATCACATAGAGAAAAATTCTTTTTCTTTACAAAATCAAACAACATACGTTCATTATCAACCATTGTATTATTTGTACTTGATATGGTTGAACTCATATTTGCTTTTGAATTAAGTAATGATTGTTGATTATGAGGTAAGATTTGTTGTTGAGAATTATCATATGTATTTTGTACAGCTTGTGTATGTGCATGACATGATGATGGATCAACAGGACGTGCTTGTTCATGACGAGGTAATGTAAAATAATCTCGTGGAGTTGAATCCCAACATTTAGCTACAACTAATTTAATTAATCTATTTGAAAAAGAAAAACACATTAGAGAATATTAAAGACTAGTTAATTAGATTTACCCAGGTGTTTTGGCAGCTTCACGTAGAATTTCAGCAGCATCATTATTTGATAATTTTCCAAAACTAATATCATTTACTTGAAGAATTATATCGTCTGGTTTAATACGACCATCTTCTGCAACTACACTTCTGAAACATCAAGATTTATTTTATGTACTTTTAGTTTCATAGAGTTTTACCCTTTCGTTATGGAACTAACATAAATTCCTCCCTCAGTTGAACCTGTTTTATCGGTTTGACCAACAATACTAATACCCAAATAGTTATTTGCGGCTGAAAAAAACATTCTGTTAATTTACACAATGAATGATAAAACAAATACGTACTTAAATGAAATGTTATCGTAAGAGTATCTAATGCCATTGTTGAATCTGAATTTAGACTGCTGGATGATGATGCCTAAATTTATTAAATAAAAAAATTCGAAGAAACGAATAGAGAACAGTACTTGGTCAAGTCCTGATGGTAATTGATGTTGTCTGCCACGAGGTCGATTTCTACCATGATATCGTGATGAAATTATTGTTGAATCAGTAATTTTTGAATATCTAAGATAAACAAAATTTTGAAAAAGATCATATTAAAAAGATCGATGAATATAACAGAAGAAAACTAAAGCTGCTCGTAAGCTTTAATGGCAAAAAGGCTAAAAATTTGTACTCACTGATCGTTTTCTGTTTCATCTAACGATGTTGTTGATTCCAAGTTACTACTTGAAAATGATCTAGCTCCAAATTCAGCTTGTTCCTTAGCAAAACAGTTTTGATAATCAGCACTATTTTCTGATGCATCACATTCACATATACATTGTAAACCTGGTTGTTGAATATCCAATGAACTATTTGCTGTTGATATTAATATTCTATAATCTTGTTGATGATGAAGATGTTTGGAATGTTTATTTTTTTCTCCTAAACCGCCACCACCACTTGATATTGTACTACCTTCATTGGAGACAAGATAAGCGACAATACGATCTTGTGCATCAAATGGTAAAATTTCTTCATCATTAATAATTTCTTGTTTAACTTTTCCAATAGATGGATCATTTGTAACAAAGTAAAATTTATATTTTGAACAATTACGATCAAGAGCATTTTTAAAATCTTTTAAACGTGGTGAAGCAGTTACATTTAATTTTGTTAAATAACGTGTATCTTGATCATCGATATAATAAAAAACTTTGATTTCAGAAGTTGATGTTGATATAACTTCATTCATTTTTGACATTTTCAATCAGTGTTTCTAATAGAAATCTAAAATAAAATGTACAGTACACACTGTTTTTAATGAGCAAAGTGTACATTTACATTCATTTTCATAAGCAAAATGTACAAAATGTACGGTATTTAGGTTTTATATAATAAAAAGAGACTGTAAAAGAAAAAAAAACATGTTGATATCTGATTTATTCAGTAAAAAAGAAGCATATAAGTAAATAGATAGCAAGGAAAAAAGCAATCTGCTATCATTCATTTAAGAAGATTAACCATCCAAAACTATAATATTAGGAAAGCACATCATCATAAGAAATATTATATCATTAAATTTATCTTCAGTTAAATCATTTGGTATAGTTAATATTGAATTAGTTGTTATAGGTGACAAATTTCCTGTTGGTGTTGGTGATACATAATATGGTAAAATTTCATTAGCTAATAATATCCCAATTAATGAAAGACCAATTGTGTTTTTTGTTTTGATTTTAAATCTGATTCTGATATTAATTTATATAGAATTAATGTTGGTGAATGTATACATTCTTTCCAACATTTAATTAATTTTTTAATTAAATCTAAATTTGACTTCATAACAATAACATTACGATGTGAACAATTTGAAAATAAATATTTAATAAGACGTTGTACAGCTATGGAATCAAGTTCACTTGGTATAGCTTGTTTATATCATGATAATAATATAACAATTGTATCAA